CGATGCCGCCTCCTGGTGGCGGAGCGGGGCAACGCGGATCTCGCGGGTGCGTGGAGTTCCACCGCGCGGGTCGAGGTGGGGAGGGGGCGGGCTCCTAACCGAAACTGGGCGGGCTGCTCAGGTGATAGGAAGTGGAGTCTCGCTGTTCTTTAATTTTGGATTGAAACTTACTATTAGCAGATCCATGGCTCTACAGCAAAGGTCTTCATGAACATGGCAGCAGTTTCCCTGGGGTTTGTTTGCCACCAACTGAGAAACGGATGTCTTGAAGAAAAGGAAGTTTTCAGCTTCTTGACATAGTTAACACGATGTCTGTAGGGCATTTGTAGAGTAGACATCACGAGAATTATAAAAATAGGCGTTAGAAAAAGAGGCTTGGCAATTTCAGCATCTGTAAAAATGCTAATTCATTGGTCAGGACTGATTCCAAAGACGGAAGAATTGGTGATTTTAGTAAAACAGCATCATTTTCCCCCAGAATACAAGGAGAAATAACACCTGCATGTGGGAAAGGAAAAGAACATCACGAAAGCTGAAGCTGAAGGCATTTTCACAGGGAAGTGATGAAGGCTAGGAAACATTAATTTTGAGCTTTCATATATAGGAAGTGTAATCAGTCCTTCTGACTTGGCTGTGCCATGGAGTGCAGCAGAAGACCCGAGTGTGTCAGTGGTGCTGTGCGGGTACCCCAGACTGCCCATTTTTAATTTTTAAAAGCAAGATGTCAAAGGAAAGAAGCTGTCATTGGTGATCATGTCCCTCTAAAGGCTGGATTGATGAGAGAAGAATGAAATGGTGGCTAGCCAGGGATCATAGGGTGGGAGAGAGTTAGATCTGGTTGCTTAGGTTGGCTGTAGTTTCAGGTTCATACGACTGAGGTTGTTCAGATGTTTCTGTTAGCGGTCATTCTGGGAGATCTTAGAAGCCCTGTCAGTCCTTTACATCGAAATATAATGATGTACACCAGAAATTTATGTAATGTTATAAACCAACGTTAGCACACAGACACAAAATCTTAGTGATTTGAAAAAAAACCATATTGAAAGGAAAAAAAAAATCTTAAAGATTTAGAAAAACACATAAAAGGAAAGAAAAATAATCTGGTTGCTTAGGTTGACTGTAGTTTCAGGTTCACATGACTGACGTTGTTCAGATGTTTCTGTTAGCTGTCATGCTGGGAGATCTTAGAAGCCCTGTCAGTCCTTTACATTAGTATCAAAGGGCCTTTAAAGTATTCACGAGGAGGGAGTGGCCCAGGAGAAGCACGAGGCGTCAGATTCTGAGGCAACACTGATAAGAAGGAGCCGGCCCACCATTTCATAAGTGTGTGGGTTGTCATTTCATGGAAGAGATAGCGATCAAATTTTAAAATGTGGTATTAGTAATTTTCTGGATGCCCTGAAGGTGACTTTCTGTTAGAAGATAGTGATGACTCAGTTTTAAAGCAATGACATGCTTTAGTGTCAAAGGAAAACTCAGGATTCCAGGGATTACAATGAGTTTTCATGTTTAGGGGATGATAATTTTGTAAGTTTGGGGGATGATTGATCTTTAGAATCTTTTTTTCTTTTCCTTTTACATTTCTAGCAGAAGCGATTGATTGTGTTCCTCTTGAACACTGGCATACTAGTATTCAGTGACATATTTTTCTCTATGAGCTAGCAAGGCATTGGCAGTCTTCCAAATTTATAATTTCGTTTTATGCTTTAGACCTATTTTTACAGAATTATTTACTTGTCTAAGCAGAAGTATTCTGGAAAGTTACATTTATCTCCCCTCCTATTTGGGTCCTTTTGGGTTTATGCCTCTACACACATACACACACCTAAACATTCGCTGTAGTTTTAGTTGGGGCTCAGGAAGGAGTAAAACTCAACGTAGGTTTCTAATTTGTCATCTTTACCCTGAACTCCTGCTTGTCTTTGAATTTAATGGTGTCTATCTTTTCCCTTATGGTTTTATGTCTTGTATAAGAAGTTCTTTTCTACCGCAAGGTTATTAACACACTCACCTATATTCTCTTCTATTACATATATTTTAAACATTAAATCTTTAATCCTAATATAGTGAAGCACTTGAAAAATATTGAGACTATGATAATGGCAAGATAGAAGTATTAAAAAAAGGAAGAACAATTAGAACTTTGAAGAAAAACAAAAAGGTGAGTGATGAGGACAAGTAAGTACGTACGCTACTTTGCTCTGCAGTGAACAACATTTATGTGGTCATAACAATGTAAATTATGATTGTGATCTAAATGTAGTGGTAGATTTAGAGGATAGGGAGGGTTGGTAAGAGAGCTAAATCTCCACCTTTTATAATAGGTAGTCAAGGGCCAGCTCCGTGGCATAGTGGTTAAGTTTGGTGTGCTCAGCTTCAGAAGCTGGGGTTCACGGGCCCCAAACCCTTGGCCCGGACCTACACTACTTGTCAGCCATGCTGTGGCAGCGGCCTACATATAAAGTGGCGGAAGATTGGCACAGATGTTAGCTCAGGGCTAATCTTCCTCAGCAAAAAAAATATATATATATTTATGTAATAGGCAGTCCATTGGTAATATTCAAAATAGATAAATCAAGAAACAGAGGTATGTACAAAGTATTTAGACGTGTGGCACTAAATCCTTGAAGAAGTAACTTAGTTAAAAGTTGTAGGAAATGGTGGTTCAGCAGAAGCCTTTTGATATTTTTGATATTTTTTTTAAATCATGAGCATGTATTATTTGATATTTTTATTATTTTTTATTTTTTTAAGATTGGCACCTGAGCTAACAACTGTTGCCAATCTTTTTTTTTTTTTTTTCCTTTCTGGTTTTTTTTCTTCCCAAAGCCCCCTAGTACATAGTTGTATATCCTAGTTGTGGGTCCTTCCAGCTGTGGCATGCGGGATGCTGCCTCAACATGGCCTGATGAGTGGTGCCTTGTCTGCGCCCAGGATCCGAAGCAGCGAAACCCTGGGCCGCCGTAGCGGAGTGTGCGAACTTAACCACTTGGCCACGGGGCCAGCCCCTGATATTTTTAAAAATTATGCATCTTACAGAGAGAAGGAAGAACACGATGACGTTGTCAAAGATGAAGGCAGGCAAGGAGAGTGGCCCCTCATTCTTGATGGAATAAATACTCTGTTGCATCTCTACTCAGGGCAGGGCTTGAGGCAAATAGCAGGCCTGTAAGTGTGGCAGGATAGCTCAGTGAAACATGAAGTTTCGTTTGTTCTGCCTGTGTGTCCTTTCTCTTTAGAGCAGGCAAGGGTTTTGGCAGGGCTGAGAGAGAGGCATCTAATGTCAGAGGCCTCTCTGCTTTCGTGAAAGTCCAGAGCAAGCCTGGGAAGAGGTTCTGCCCTGGACGGGTTGCAGAGGGGGAGTGTTTGGAGAGAGTTCTTTACAGCCGGGGAGGGATTGGTGTGCAGGTCCAGCCAGCGTGGGCACTGGGCTGTGATCCCTGGCTCTGATGGAGCCATGGCAGGAACTGAGTAGACGGCTCTGATAGGTGTCCGGTGGCCAGATGTAAGCCCAGAGTGTCTCCCAGCTGAATTCTCGTGTCTGAAAGGGGGCACAGAGCTAAGTTTGAGAGTGTAGGACCTGGAGAGTCCTAGCTGCTGGGACCACAGGGTTCACAGCGTTGATGAGACTGCTGTCCAATGACGGGATGGTGTGGGGGCAGGTAGGAGGTCTCCCCTGTGCCTTGAGGTTTCTGTGAGCTTTGCACAGCCCTCGGCAAATGGGATCCCAAGAGCGCCTGATGCTGAATTTCTCCCCAGCACTCCAGCGCAGGGGCCTGGAGTAGGTATCGAGTTCACTGAAAGGCCATTTTAGGATACAGGAATTCTTGCACACCTGAGTTTGTAGACTGAGATCACACCTGCTGCACGAGGATAGGTGGGGAGGAGCCCTGTGTTCACGGGCCGCAGGAGGAGCAGACAGCAAACATTTCAAGACTTCATGGTCAGTGGTCCGGGCTGTGACAGGCTCAGGCTCCCAGGGAGGAGAGGTGGGGGCAGCCTCCTCCCACTCCCTGCCCCCTCTCAAGATCTGTTCGTTCTTTCCCACATGGCCTGGTGCCATCTGACGGTCCTCCCTACCCCTGCCTGGAGCAAAGGGGGGGACTAGGAGGATCTCTGCTCTAAGGCTGAAGAGGTAGGGGAGAGCCAGGCAGGAGTCTTCTGGGAGAGGAGACTGATTTGCATCTGAATTCTGGGGTTCCAAATACCTGCCACCAAGATTTATTCCTTGGCCTCCAGAGACTAAAGGGGCTAAAATTCCCTGGGTCCCAGCCAGGGGGGAAGGGAAAAGAAAGGAAGGGGAGGAGGCTTCCCAACTGGAAGGCAGCTGAGGGAGTCAGGAAGGCCAGATAGGAACAGAGAGCACAGCCCCATTAAACAAAGGCGAGAGGCCAGACCGAGCTCCAGGGGTCGTTGATCATCTTGATCACTGGGGCAGGAGGGAATCCTCTGGGCTCTTTGGGAGGGGTGGGGCTCTGAAGGGCTCCCAGGGCTGGAACTCTGCGTGGGGAAGGTTTCAGTAGAACTTGTGTTTGCCTGTGTTACAGGCGGGTCCGGGCTCCAGCCTCCCTCCTGGGGACCCTCCCAAGGAGGTCCCTCTTGGAGGTTCACATTCAGTTGGTCCCAAGCAAAGGTGAGGCAGTCCCTGGTAGAGCTGGGAGGGAGGGTATGCTGGACATAGTCAGGGAAAGGATCTCAACAGGGTCTCAGAGGGCTGCAGCGCCATGGGGAGGTGGGGCAGTGAGGTGTGTGCTCTGGGTCACCGTCTCCCCAGTGGCAGGGATTTCTCAGAGACCAGGAGCAGCCCAGGTCCCACCCTGCCCCTCAGCCTCCCTTCTACCGCCCACAGGTGTGGGCACCTGGGAGGCAAGGAGACTCTCGCCGTAGTTGAGAACATAGAATTCGCCAGCCTGAGCTCTTGCCTGGGACCCCAGAGTGTGTGACCCCACGGTGTAGTGACACTGGCTTCCCCGTGGACACAAACACACAGGAACAGATGCTCGGGTAGGAGGCCGGAACAGCTCTTTGTTCAGTAAGGTACAGATTGCATTTATAAGGAAGGGGTGGGTTGCAGTGGGGAGCAGGGTCAGGTCCAGTATCCTGGGTGACCTTTCCTCTGAGGGGACAGTCCTGCTGCCTCCTCTCACACTTCCTGGGAGACTCTCCCTCCTCTGCCTCTCTGGGCCTGGCCCGGTGTGGGCCGCTCAGCCATGCAGGGTAGGGCAGGGAATACAGAAGGGGAGGGTGGTGCAGGAGAAGGGGTGAGGGAGGTCTGCACCAGCTGGCTGTTCTGTGGCCGAGTCCTTCCTTTCTTCCGGCCCGCTTCTTGCCCCTTGGATTGGGGCTCAAAGCCCTGGTAAGGTGGTGTGGGCTCCTGGGCTCCAGGCTGGGCACTGGGCTATGGTCCTTTCGGAGTCTCAGTCCTGGGAGAGCAGACGAGGGGTGTGAGGGGCTGGTGGAGGTTCCCGTCTCTTCCCTCCCCACCCTTTCAGCTTCCTCACCTCTTACAGCCTTTGGTGCCCTTTCCCTTCTTGCCAGACTTGGAGCCCCCCTTATCCTTCTTGCAGTCCTGGACTGGTTTCTGTCGGGCTGGTGGCTTGTCCAGACGCTGCATCAGCTGCTGCACCCAGGCCTCCTTAGGGTCGGCACACAGCTCTGGCTGAGAGCGCTTCCGAGGTGAGAACCTGGGGGTCGGGCATTAGCAAGCCTGTCCAGTCTTGCCCACCGTGCCCTCCCCACTCAGCTGCCAGCTGGCACCCACCCCCTGGCGCCCACTCACACGACAGCCGGGATGGCGCAGCCCAAGCTTGGCTCCTGCTTCCGGTAGCTGCGGACAGCCTTGAGGGGAATCTTCCTCTGGCTGTACCTGAGGCAACAGTCCTGTGCCCCTCCATCACTGCCTGCAGGGTGGGATTCAGAGTGAGCCAGGGGCTGCTTGTAGGCTCCCCCAGACCTGTCCAGCCCCTTGCCCCCGTCCTAGGCAACTCCCTCCTTGATACCTTGGGTCCAGGGGATGCAGAAGGCCAGGACCAGGACAAGGAGGCTCAGAGCCAGCGACTGAGCCATGACTGTGGTCGAGGGTGAGGATGAGACCCGAGCTGTGGGAGAGGTTCAGCTCCAAGTTGGGGGTCTGTGTGTGGGCTGGGACTGGTCTGCTGCCTATTTATGCAGGCGGACACTTTCACTTCCCCCATCCCCAGCCACTCTGTCCAGGCAAGAGTAAGGATCTCCCTCCTTTTCCTTCCTGAGCGGCAGATCCTGTCCTGGCACCCAGCCTGACTAGTATGCGGAAACGAAAACTGCGCACAGCCAATCAGTGCCCTGGCCGCCTGAATCGGCCTCCCCAGCATCAGCCGAATCCCTCAGTCCCTCCTTCCCTCCCCAGCCACCATCGGGTGCAGGCCCCACCACCTCTCCCCGGACACTGTGACTGTCGCCTCACTGCACTCCAGGCTCCGTGCTCTCCCCTCCTTCCAGCAGGCTGAGCACTGTTCCTAAAATGCAAATCTGGTTATTGAATTGTAAGAGTTCTTTGCACATTCTCTTTAGGAGACCCTTGTCAGACAGACAATTTGCAAATATTTCCTCCCGTTCTGTGGGTTGTCTTTTCACTCTCTTGATAGTGTCTTTTGACACAAAATTTTTAGATTTTGATGAAGTCCAGTTTTTTTGTTTTTTTGTTATTTGCCTAGGCTTTTGGTATCATATCTAAGAAAAATATATTGCCAAATCCCTCTCCAGGGGGTGCACAGTGGGGATGGCTGTTGGTTTCCTCAGTGGTGAAAGCTGCTGTTGTCCTCTGCAGAGCAGCTGCTGCGGACTGCCCCATCCGTCTTTGTTCCTGGCCCTTCCCAGACGTCTCAGCTAAGCTGAGCTCCCCAGTGCTCCTTTCTGGGTGGTTATTCTCTGTTTTTTGCTCCACTGTGTTACTGTAGGATCTTGATGAACTCTTGCACCCTCCTGGGGCTATTTATGTTCCTATATAGCTGTCTAATTGGCATTGTGGGGGAAGAAGGCTGCCATCTCCTGGTCTCCCATTTTGCTGACATTACCTCTCCCTATGTTTTCTTCTAAGAGTTTAATAGTTTTAGGTCTTACAATTAGGTCTTTGATTCATTTTGAATTATTTTTTGTATTTAGTATGACGTAAGGGTCCAAGATCATTCTTTTGCATGTGGACATCCAGTTTTCCCAGCACTATGTGTTGAAAAGGCTGTCCTTCCTCATTGTATGGTCTTGGCACTCTTGTCAAAAGTCAATTGACCATATATGTGAAGGTGTATTTCTGGGCTGTCTACTCTGTTCCATTGGTCTACGTGTCTCTCCTTATGCTAGTGCCACACAGTTTTGATTACTGGAACTTTGCAGTAAGTTTTGAAATCAGGAAGTGTGAGTCCTCCACCTTTGTTCTTCTTTTCAAGATGGTTTTGCTTACTCAGAGTCCCTTGAAATTCCGTATCAATTTTAGGATAGGTTTTTCTATTTCTTCAAAAAACGCTATTGGGATTTTGATGAGGCTTGCATTGAATCTGTAGATTGCTTTGGAGAGTGTTATTATTTTAACAATATTAAATCTTCCAATACATGAACGCAAGATATCTTTCTGTTTATTTAGGTCTTATTTAATTTCTTTCAGCAATGTTTTGTAGTTTTCAGTGTCCAAGTCTTATGTGTCCTTGGTTAAACTTATTCATAAGTATTTTATTCTTATTAGTGCTATTGTAAATGGAATTGCTTTCTTAATTTCTTTTTAGGATTGTTTATTGCTAGTGTATAGGAATTCGATTGATTTTTGTATGTTGGTTTTGGAGCCTGAAACTTTGATGGAGCCATTTATTAGTTCTGTTTTTTGTGTTTTCTTTAGGGTTTTCAATCTGTAAGATCATGTTCTGTGAACAGAGATATATTTACCTTTTTCCAATTTGGATGCCTTTTGTTTCTTTTTCTTGCCTAATTGCTATGGCTAGAACTTCCAGAACTATGTTGAATAGAAGTGGCTAAAGTGGGCATTCTTGTCTTGTTCCCAATCTTAGGAGAAAACTTTCAATTTTTCCTCATTGAGTATGATGTTAGCTGTAGGTTTTTCATATCTGCTCTTTATCATATTGGGGAAGTTCCCTTTTATTTCTAGTTTTTTGAGTGTCTTTATCATGAAAGGGTGTTGGATTTTGTCAGAAGTTTTTTCTGCATCAACTGAGATGATCATTTTTCCCCCCTTCATTCCATTAATGTGGTGTGGTACACTGTTTGATTTTCATAGGTTCAACCATCCTTGCATTCTAGGAATAGATCCCACTTGATCGTGGTGCATAATGATTTTAATATGCTGCTGAAATCGATTTTCTAATTTTTTTTGAGGATTTCTGCATCTGTATTCATTAGGGATATTGGTCTGTAGCTTTCTTTTCTTGTAGTGTCTTTGTCTGGCTTTGGTATCAGGGTAATGTTGATCTTATAGAATGAGTTTTGGGGTGTTCCCTCTTCTTTAGTTTTTTGGAAGAGATTGAGAAGGACTGATGCTAATTCTCCTTTAAATGTTTGGTAGAATTCACCAGTGAAGCCATCTGGTCCTGGGTTTTTCTTTGTTAGAATGTTTTTGATGACTGATTAAGTCTCTTTACATATTATAGATCTATTCAGATTTTCTATTTCTTCTTGAGTCAGTTTTGATAGTTTGTGTGTTTGGGGAATTTATCCATTTCATCTAGGTTACCCAGTTGATAGTATCCTCTTATAATCCTTTTTATTTCTATAAAATCAGTGGTAATGTCCCCATTTTCCTTTCTGATTTTAATAATTTGTCTTATCTCTTTTGTTCTTAGTCAGTCTAGCTAAAGGTTTGTCAATTTTGTTGATCTTTTTAAAGAACCATCTTTTGGTTTTGTTGATTTTTCTCTATTGTCTTTCTATTCTCTATTTTATTTACTTATGCTTTAATCTGTATTATTTCCTTCTTTCTGTTATCTTTGGGTTTAGTTTGATCGACTTTTTCTAGCTCCTTAAAGTGTATAGTTATATTATTGATTTGAAATCTTTCTTCTTTTTTAATGTAGGCATTCACAGGTATAAATTTCCCTGTTCTCACTGCTTTCACTGCACCTCATACCAAACTTATGGGATGCAGTGAAAGCAGTGCAAACAGGGAAATTTTTATTTCTATTTGTCTCAAGGTATTTTCTGATTTTCCTTGTGATTTCTTCTTTGACTCATTGTTTAGAGTGTGTTGTTGAATTTCCACATGTGTGTAAGTTTTCCAATTTTCCTTCTGTTACCGATTTTTAGTTTCATTCTATTGTGATCAGAAAAGATACTTTGTATCATTTCATCTTAAAATTTATGAAGAGTTGTTTCGTGGCCTAACATATGGTCTATCCTGGAGAATGTTCCATGTGAACCTGAGAAGAATGTGTATATTCTGCTGTTGTTGGACAGAGTTTTCTGTGTATGTCTGTTAGGTCTAATTCATTTGTAGTGTTGTTCAGGTTCTCTATTTCCTTATTGATATTTTGTCTGGTTGGTTTATCTTTTATTGAAAGTGGGATATTAAAATCTTCAACTATTATTGTAGAACTGTTGATTTCTCCCTTCAGTTTTGTCAGTTTTTGCTTTATATATTATGAGGCTCTGCTGATGTTTGTTTATAACTGTTATATCTTACCATATAAAACCTTTTGTCAATATGTAGTGTCCTTGTCTCTTACAACCTTTTTTGACAAAAAGTCTATTTTCTTTAAAAGTAATATAGCCACCACAGCTCTCTTTTGTTTACTAGTTGCATGAGATTCCCGCCGCCGCCATCTTTTTACTTTCAAACTCTGTCTTTGTATCTCAAGTGAGTCTCTTGTAGATAGCATGTAGATGGATCATGTTTTGTCCATTCTGCTACTCTCTGCCTTTTAATTGGAGAGTTGAATCTACTTACTTTAAAGCAATCAGTTACAAGGGAGGATTTAACTCTGTCATTTGGCTATTTGTTTTGTATGTGTCTTAGCTGATTTTTCTTCCTCATTTCCTCCATTACTGCCTTTCTTTGTATTCAATTAAGTTTATGTAGTGTACCATTTTGATTCCCTTCTTCTTCCTTTTCTGTATATTTTGTAGTTATTTTCTTAGTAGTTACCTTGGGGATTACAGTTAACAAGTTAAATTTATTCTAGTTTGAATAATACCTACTTAGTTTCAACAGTATACAATACTCTGCCCCTATATATTTTAGCTCTTCTTCAATTTATATTGTTATTGTCACAGATTACATCTTTATATACGGTTTCCATAACATAGATTTATAATTATTATTTTGTGCCTTTGCCATTTAAATCACATAGGAAAAAAAGAACAGTTACAAACAAAAAATGCAATCTACTAGGTTTTACATTTACCTATATAGTTGTCTTTACCAGAGACCTTTATGTCTTTGTATGGCTTCGAGTTACCATTTATTGTCTTTTGGTTTCAGCCTGAGGGACTCCCTTTAGCATTTCTCATAGGCATTTCTGCTGGTAATGAACTTCCCCAAGTTTTGTTTATTTGGAAATGTCTTAATTTCTCCTTCATTCTTGAAAGATAGCTTTTCCAGATATAGAATTCTTGTTTGACAGTTTTTTTCTTTCAGGATTTTAAATATATCATCCCCTTGCCTTCTGGCATCCATGGTTTTTGAGAAGAAATCAGCTTTTAATCTTACTGATAATCTCTTGTACATAATAAGTTACTTTTCTCTTGCTGCTTTCAAAATTGTCTTTGGGTTTCAACAATTTGCCATAATGTGTTTTGTTGTGGATATCTTTGAGTTTATCCTGCTTGGAATTTGTGGACTGCTTGGATATGTACTTTCATACCTTCATTAAATTTGGTATATTTTTGGCCATTATTTCTTCAAAAATTTTTTCTGCCCTGCTCTCTCTCTCTTCCCCTTTTGGGAGTCCTCTGGTGAGGTATGTGTGATGGTATCCCACATGTCTCTCAGACTCTTTCATTTTTCTTCTCCTTTTTCTGCTCCTCAGACTCAATAATTTCAACTGCCTTATCTTCAAGTGTGTGGATTCTTTCCTCTGACCTTCTCAAGTTTGTTGTTGAACTCTCCCAGTGAATTTTTTCATCTCAGTTATTGTATTTTTGAGTCTAGAATTTGGGTCCTTTTTTTTTTTTTTTAATAATTTGTGTCTCATTTTGTTCATACATCCTTTTCCAGGTTTCCCTTAGTTCTTTGCCCACGGTTTCCTTCAGCTCTTTGAGCGTATTTCAGATGGTTAATTTAAAGTATTCACCTAGTGTGTCCAGTGTGTGGGCTTCCTTAGGGATGGTTCCTGTTAAATCCTTTTTTCCTGTGAATGGG